TATAATTATATTGGATGCTGTCTTAACGTGATGTTTGTAGTTTGTTTTGATTTTGACCTTATTGTTTTAATGTGCTCTATTGGATCTTAAATTTCAACTTTTTATATTGGGCAGGTCTCTCTTTTAAAAGAGATTTTTAAAATCAGTGAGACTCACCTGGTTAAATAAAGGTTAAATGATAATGCAGAAATAAACACACGTGTGTTTTCTATATTAATGAAAAAATCATAGCAGGTGTCTTCAGCAGCCACATAAGACTGTGAGCAGGAAAACTGACTTCTGTTAAGGGAAAGTTCAGTGCATGTGTGTGAGTGACCATAAACAGGTCTGTAAGATCTCATGGACTCATCTCCAACATTCTGCACACTCAGAACTCGCTCGCCGACCTGTTGTTGGAGTATCTGGAGGAGCTTGATGGTGAAGAGCTGAAGAAGTTTAAATGGAAACTGAGTCACACAAAGTATAAAGAGTTAAAGCCCCTTCCCAGGGGTCAGGTGAAGGACTTGGATAGAACAGACCTCGCCGACACGATGATAAGTTCCTACATGGAAGTTGGTGCTCTTGAAGTCACACTTGAAATCCTGAAGAATATGACCCTGAATGACCTTGCTGAGAGACTGAAGGAAGACATGCAGATGTGTAATCATATTTTTAACCTTTCTTGTTTTTATATGAAATGTAATCTTTTTTAGGTCTTGAAAAATAAATATATTAAATAACATTATATGGGGAATGATGAAGAGTTTGTTACATATTGATGTTGAAGATAGAATTGAATATGAAATTCTTATTTCAGGTAAACAAGTAGGAAGTCAGCTGGGTGACGTATCAGAGAAAAGTAAGAGCTGTATGCTATTATTTACATGTATGTTTCAGAAAAAAAAATGTGTATGATGTGAAAATTAAAGTATCATTAATCACAGTGAAATGGTGAAAAACGTGTCTCTGTGTGTTACCTTACGTTACTTTGTGAGAACCAAATGTCACCACAACCCTGGTGACCGCAAAAAGATGCAAAAATTATTTTATTTAGGCTACATATAGTTATGATTAGGGCTGCGTAGAGGTTAAGGTTGTCATTAGCATTTATCCCATAGCAATAAAGGAGCAGTCCCCATGAGGATATGTCGTCCGTCCCCCCTCCCCCCCCTCCCGTGTGTGTGTGTGTGTCTATATTCTTCCTCTCATACTGGTCAGGATCCAGTTCAGAAATTGTCCATTTTCTCCCATATTTCTTCAGGGAAGCTCATGCTGGACAGAATAAAATGTAACCTGAAGAAGAAATTTGAATGTGTATTTGAAGGGAAAGCTAAGGAAGGACGGCCAACACTTCTCAAAGAGATTTACACTGAACTCTACATAACTAAAGGTGGTACTGGAGGAGTCAATGATGAACATGAAGTGAGACAGATTGAAACAGCATCCAAGAAAAGGCAAACAGAAGATACTACAGTCAAGTGCAATGATATATTTAAACCCTTATGTGGGTGTGAGACACCTATCAGAACTGTACTCACTAAAGGGGTTGCAGGTATCGGGAAAACAGTCTCTGTGCATAAATTTATACTAGACTGGGCAGAAGGAAAAGCAAACCAGGACATTCACATCATATTTGCTCTTCCTTTCCGGAACCTTAATTTGGTTAAAGGTGAATTCAGTCTGATTGAACTGCTTCACCATTTTGACCCAGAACTAAAGTTATTTCAATCAACTGAGCTGTTTAGGTACAAAGTCTTGTTCGTCTTTGATGGTCTGGATGAATGTCGCCTTCCTCTAGATTTTCAGAACAACGAGAGCTGGTTTGATGTTACAAAGAAAACATCACTGGATGTGCTGTTGACTAACTTAATTAACAGGAATTTGCTTCCATCCGCTCTCCTCTGGATAACCTCCCGGCCAGCAGCAACCAATCAGATACCTCCTGAGTGCATCGACCAGGTGACAGAGATACGAGGGTTCAGTGATGCCCAGAAGGAAGAGTATTTCAGGAAGAGATTTAATGATGAGAGCCTGTCTAAAAGGATTATCAGACATGTGAAATCATCAAGGAGCCTCTTCATCATGTGCCACATACCTGTGTTCTGTTGGATTTCAGCCACTGTTCTTGAGAGTCTTTTTTGTGAGACTGACAGTGGAGAAATTCCAAGAACTCTGACTGATATGTACACACACTTCCTGATCTTTCAAGCAAGTTTAAAAAATGACAAGTATAGGCTCCAGACCTCTGCGACCCAGAATAGGACAAGCTGGTACAGAAAACTGAAGGATGGATGGATGAAAAAAAATGAAACCAAACTTATTAAACGCTTCCTTCTAAAACTTGGTAAACTTGCTTTTCATAACCTTGAGAAAGGCAATCTCATATTTTATGAGAAAGATCTGGAACAGAGTGACCTTGACATCAGAGAAGCTTCAGTTTACTCTGGAGTGTGCACAGAAGTCTTTAAAGAGGAATATGGGTTGTATCAGA